AAAGGATCGGGAACATTGCCAAACAAAGGGCCTCGAGACTCGAATCTCACAGATGGGGAAACGACCACAAAGGCTTGTTAGGTGCGTGTGTGTGTGTCTGTGTGTGCGTGCGTGTGTGTGTGTGTGCGCGTGTGTGTGCGTGTGCGTGTGTGTGTGCGTGTGCGTGTGCGTGTGCGTGTGCGTGTGCGCGTGCGCGTGCGCGTGTGCGCGTGGGTGGGGGGGGGGGGGGGCTGCGCCTACTTTGAAGCTCAGGAGCACTCAAACATTGCAACCTTGCCCCCGATCCAAAAATCAGCAACCCTGCGCAGTCTAATTGGACAAACGCGCGGCCCAAGACTCACCGAGACCTCCCCGAGGGCTGGCTGTTCCAGCTGCGGCCCCGAACGTGGATCCCAAGCCTGAGAGCGGCGGCCGCGCAGGCCGTGAAGGGCCCTTCAATGGCCGCCCGAAGAGTTGCCACGAGCGGCAAAAAGGTTGTCAACTGTGGCGAAACCCTGCTCGAACATACGACCGGGGAATAATTTGCCAACGCAGCTACCGCAAACGCGCACAAAAGGTTCGACGCTCAACTTGAACGAGGGTTCGCAGCGCGGAGAGTCTGCCATCATGAGCATCAACATGGGGCCCCCGACGCTGAGGCTGCGCGTTTGCACGCGTGTCTGCATGGCCCTCACACGTCGCAAGTCTCCACGGCTGGTTCCCCGCCCAAGCTCCGTACTTGTATGATGCGAGCGGAGCGACCTGCACCACGTTGCGTGGCCGGCGTTGCTTGATCTGTTGTCGCAAGGAAATGAGCTTCCGAGCACGCGCAAGCGCAGGGCCCTCCACAGCCTTCTGGCCGAACGAACACGACCAGACGCGGCCGATATAAACAAGCCCTAGGCTGCTTTAGTTTCGCGCCCCATTGATACTATAATTACGCAGCGCCTCGATCAGCCTGGTTCCGAACTCGCTCGACGACGCCGCGATGCGACCTTTGCCGCGATGGACGCCCACGCGAACGTCGGCTAGCCCTGCTCGCAGCATAGATGTGGAGCCTGCGAGGTCACCGAACACATCGGTCTCGCGCCCGATGCGAAGCATGCCAAATTCATACACCCCAAATGCTAGAGAAATGAGTCGGCATGCGACTGCAACCTTGTCGCCAGGCCCAGTCCAACTTAGCTGCAGCACGAGCGCGGTAAACTTGCATCCAGACAAAACGGTTTGGAGGGCCTCGAGGGGCCTGGAGACGGCATCGCGCAGTCTCAGAATGCGAGGGGGACGAGGGAACCCCACCAGGAGCCGAAGCTGTCTGAAGAGGACCCCCCGAACTTTGGCAAAATTGGATTTGGCAGCCGCTCTGCCCAGGCGCCGAGATCACGAGTTGATTCTGCATGCCTCGCGGGACGGGGGCCCGCATATCTCCCACAGGCTCTGAAAGGCTGTGCCATTTACAATTGCATACAAACTGCACCGCCATGTCTTGAAATCTGTCATCCACGCAACGAGACAAAACAACAACGGGCGCGCGGCCTGCATACCCCGATATTAACAGCACGCAAAAAGATAGAGAACGAACACCCCGTTGCATTACGCCATACAATGAAGGTGGTTAGGGCCGCTGCTCCCGGCTCAGAGAGCGTTTCTTTATGTTCGGCGATGACGAGCGTCATGGGGGGGGGGGGGGGCGAGGGGGGGGGTATGACGTAACGCCCCCCCGCCGTGTGGCTCCGGCACCGCAGCCGCGCCCGCGCGCGCGACGCGACGAGCGACGAGCGACGAGCGACGACGACGACGACGACGACGACGACGACGACGACGACGTCGCGAGCAGCGTGCAGGTGGCGATATGCCCCACTGCGCCTGTGTACGCCGCAACGCTCGCGCGCAACACAGCGCGCGCGCGCGTGTATACCACAGCGCCTGCGTACACCGCAACAGCCGCGTGCAACGCAGCGCCTGTGTACACCACAGTGTTTGCGTACAGTACGCCGCCGGCGTACATGTGTACACTGCAGCTACCATGTGCAACGCAGCGCCTGTGTACAACACAGTGCTTGCGTGCACCGCAGCACTTGTGCACGCCACAGCGCGTGTCTACACCACAACATCCGCGTGCAATGCAGCGCTGGTGTACACCACAATGAGAGCGCACCGCAGAATGGTCGATTGAATCGGTCCACTTAGTTCTCGGACGGCAAATTTACCTGGAGCCTCCTGGACGCAGATGGGAGGAGATAGGGTGATGCGGGCGGACTCGGGAGGACTCGTGGATTAGAGCGGCGCTCCGTTGTCCATAAGGACTATTCCCAACCATCCTGTGGTGTTGGGTCCTCGTTTTGAAGAGACGTCGCCCCGCGCTCTCCTTTTCTCCTCCTCCTCCTCCCCCTCCTTCCTACCGTCCGCATGCGTCCCGCGCACTAAGTACAGCGTTTCGTGGCCCTCCTCCCCCTCCTCCCTGCGTTTCACCCGCCCAGTACAACGCTTCGTGGCCCCATAGGGAACCCCACCGAAGGCCCCAGTGCTACCGTCCGCACGCGCCCCGCACACTCAGTATAGCTTTTCGTGGCCCTCCTTCCCCTCATCCCTGCGTTTCACCCACCCAGTACAGCGTTTCGTAGCCCCGTAGGGAGCTCCACCGAAGGTCCCAGTGCTACCGTCCGCATGCATCCCGCACACACAGTGCAGCGCTTCGTGGCCCCATAGGGAACCCCGCCGAAGGTCCCCGTGCTACCGTCCGCATGCGTCCCGCACATCCAGTACATCGTTTCGTGGCCCCATATGGAGCCCCACCGAAGGTCCCAGTGCTGACGTCCGCATGCGCCCCGCACACCAAGTGCAGCGGTTCGTGGCCCTCCCCCCCCTCCTCCCGGCGTTTCACCCACCCAGTACAGCGCTTCGTGGCCCCATGGGGAACCCCACCGAAGGTCCCAGCGCTACCGCCCGCATGCGTCCCGCACGCCCAATACAGCGTTTCGTGGCCCCACAGGGAGCCCCACCGAAGGTCCCAGCGCTACCGTCCGCGTGCGCCCCGCACACTCTGCACAGCACTTCGTGGCCACAGGGAGCTCCACCGAAGGTCCCAGTGTTGCCGTCCGCATGCGTCCCGCACACCCAATGCAGCGTTTCGTGGCCCTCCTCCCACTCCTCCCTGCGCTTCGCCCACTCAGTACAGCGTTTCGTGGCCCCGTAGGGAACCCCACCGAAGGTCCCAGCGCTACCGTCCGCATGCGCCCCGCGAGCCCCGTACAACGTTTCGTGGCTCCATAGGGAGCCCCGCCGAAGGTCCCAGCGCTACCGCCCGCATGCGCCCCGCACACTCAATACGTCGTTTCGTGGCCCCATAAGGAGCTCCACCGAAAGTCCCAGCGCCCCCGTCCGCATGCGCCCCGAAAGCCCAATTTGCCATTTTCACCCATCTGGTGCAGCGCTTCGTGGCCCTATAGGGGGCTCCACCCAAGGCCCCAGTGCCACCGTCCGCATGCGTCCGGGTAATATAATTTGGCATTTTCACAAGCGCAGTGCAGCGCTTCGTGGCCCCATAGGGGGTTCCGCCGAAGCCCCCAGTGGGACCGTCCGCGTGCGCCCCAGAAACCCAATTTGGCACTTTCACTCACTCAGCAGAGCGCCTCGTGGCCCCAAAGGGAGCCCCGCCGAAGCCCTCAACGGGGCCATCCGCGCGCGTCCCGGGAACCCAATTCGGCACACCACCCACGCAGCACAGCGCTCCCCCCGCCCAACGCAGCGCTTCGTGGCCCCATGGGGAGCTTCGCCGAAGCAGATATTCACAAGTACGGCACCCACAACTGCATATGGTTGGGACCTTCGCCAGGAGTATTTGCTATTATTTTCTGTGGAGGCCACGAACGTTCCATGTTGTCATAATGATTTGTCCATTTGTCTGCTGCACGCGGTTGCGACCGCGCGTCAAGGGCGCTCTCAAGGTCGCGCAACTTGTTCACCAAGGGTTTGCGAGCTGCGGCGCGCGCCTCCCTCGCCAGCTTGGCCACGGCTGGTTTGTCGCCGAAGTCGCGATCTCTTTTCGCGGCCCTGCGTACCTTGTTGCTCTGCAGCTTCTTCTCGTAAGCGGGTGTCCCCTCCTTTGGGTTCCCCATGGTGTCGCGAAGCACGGAACACGGAACCAATCGAACCTTGACCCAAAACGGTTACGGATGGTCGAAACTCGCTCGTGCCACATCCGCTGGGGGGGCTCTGTCATTCGGTCGGAGGGTCAGCAAAAAATGCCCCCAAAAAGACTTTCAGGTCGGAGGGTCAGCGAATCATGTAAAAACAGGTGTTTGGGTTTTCAGTTTGTTCCGCATCTATCCATCTGTGCGCGCATTGATCCACCACAATCTGACACACCAAAGAACAAAGCATATGTTGTACCGTGTTTGCTGACCCTCCGACCTTAAAAAATGTTTCTAAAATAGATTATATACCCCTGGCTTGACAAGAGGCCCCACGAGCAGAGATGAAGGAAGATAATGAGCGCAATCGAAAGGACGAACTGAATTGATCAGGCACTCTCCTCCTCCTCCCCCTAGAAAGAAAAAGAACGGAGGAGCAAGACGAGGAGGGAAGGTGGGCTTCTACTGTACTGGCCGTGGAAAAGGAATCTTCTGCAAACCGGCGTTTGGCATTCGCCGTCGCGCAGCACCACTCAGCGGCCTGTCAGCAATCTGACGGCGACCGCGAATTGGCCCTTATCGCCGGTGCCAAAGAAAGCGGGCCCAAGCACGAACGCGGCAGCGCGCAACAGTGGCCGGCCAGGTGATCCTCCTCTTTCTTCCTCGACGCCAAGCTGGAAAACGCTGAAACCACCCAGGCGCAAAAAACAAACAAAAAGTCCAGGCCTATATCGGGTCTGGCGCCCCTCCTCCTCCTCCTCCTCCTCCTCCTCCTCCTCCTCCTCCTCCTCCTCCTCCTCCTCCTCCTCCCCTCCATCCGTCCCCCCCTTCCGTCCCCCCCTCCCCTTCTTCGCCATCCTTTCACTGCACAGCACTCGCGCTACCCGCCTCAACACGTATCAGCACGCCGCGGTGCTCCCAGTGGGCGAACTTTTGTCCAGGCGTGTACTGCCGGCGCGAGTCGACCCACACCTGGGGTCGCGGGCAGCTCCTCCTCCTCCTCCTCCTCCTCGTCCTCCTCCTCCTCCTCCTCCTCGACCTCGTCCTCCTCCTTGTCCTCGTCCTCCTCCTCGTCCTCGTCCTCGTCCTCGTCGTCGTCGTCGTCCTCCTCCTCCTCCTAATCCTCCTCCTCCTCCTCGTCCTGTCCTTCTTCCTCTGGATCATAATCAGAAACAGCATCATCGTCGTCGTCGCCGTCTTCTTCATCATCATCATCACCACCACCACCATCATCATCATCATCATAATCATCATCATAATCAGTATCACCACCATCACCAATCATCATCATAATCATCATCACAGTCGTCTTCATCATCATGCTCATCACCATCATCATCGTCATCATCATCATCAGTAGCATCATCATCGTCATCATCCATGATCATGACCATCATCATCAGCAGCAGCATCTGAAGTACCATCATCATTTAGCATCATCGTCAGCATCATCAGCAGCATCAGCATCATTCCCATCGTCACCATCAGCATCATCCCCATCATCATCAGCAGTAGCATCGTCACTATCATCAGCAGCATCATCAACCAACATCAGCATCAGCATCAGCATCATCATCAGCATCAGCATCAGCATCAGCATCAGCATCAGCATCATCATAATCATCATCATCATCATCATCATCATCATCATCATCATCATCATCATCATCATCATCATCATCATCATTTGTAGGGTCGTCAACATCGTCAGCATCATCAGCAGCAGCAGTTTCAGCATCATCATCAGCATCATCACAAGCATCATCACCAACATCATCATCATCATCATCATCATCAGCAGCAGCAGCAGTATCATCATCCTCAGCATCGTCGTCATCATCATCATCATCAAGCTCATCAGGCTCATCATCATAATAAACATCACCATTATCATCATCATCATCATCATCACCATCATCATCATCGCCATCATCGTCACCGTCACCGTCACCGTCACCGTCATCGTAATCAATATCATCATCATCATCATCATCATCATCAGCAGCAGCATCAGCATAATCATCATCATCAACAGCAACATCATCATCGTCAAAATCTCGTCGTCATCCTCAGCATCATCCGAATCACCCGAATCGTCATAAGCATCATCATCAGCATCAGCATACAGCCGGACTTGATTGGACAGGACACGCGAGAGGACACAAGACCCTTCCGAGTGCCACATTGACATAGGAATGTAGGAGGCATGGGTCGCGAGACACAGGACACAAGGGCACCCTTGAATTGGCAGGATCGACCTACTAATCAGTGCCAACTGTAAGCAGTATCATCACAATCATCATTATTAGCATCGTCATCGTCATCTTTATCGTCCTCGTCATCTCCGTCATCATCATCAGCTACATCATCAGCATCATGTTCATGTTCATGTTCATGTTCATGTTCATCATCATCATCATCATCATCATCATCATCATCATCATCATCATCATCATCATCATCATCATCATTTTCATCATCATCATCATCATCATCATCATCATCATCATCATCATCATCATGGTCGTCACCAACCTCGTCAACATCAAGCTCTTCAGCATCATCATCATCAGTATCAGCATCGCCATTACCACCACCACCAGCATCGTCATAATCAGAGTCAGCATCATCATTACCATCGTCGTCATCATCATCAGCATCATCATCAGCAGCATCATCAGCAGCATCATCGTAAGCATCATCATCAGCACACAAGCATCACCATCATCCACTCCTCATCATGAGCACCATCCTCGAAATGTCAGCGTCATCTCTAGCAGCACCATCATCATCGCCCCCATCCCAATATCATTCCCCGCAGCAACATCAGTATCAGCATCGTCAGCATCGTCATTGCCATCATCAACATCATCATCACCGGCATCACTGTCATCAGCATCCTCGTCCTCGCCCTCACGCTCATCACAATCGTGATCATCAGCATGATCACCACCACCATCACCATCATAAGCATCAGCATCAGCATCATCAGCACCAGCACCAGCATCATCATCATCATCAACATCATCATCATCATCATCATCAGCATCATCAGCATCATCATCATCATCATCATCAATTGCATCATCATTATCATCGGCATCGTCATCGTCGTCGTCGTTATCATCGTCGTCATCGTCATCATCCTACTCGTCTCCTCCGACCGCTCATTATCCATCCACTGGCTGCCTTCTCCCTCGTAACCGCCTGATGGTGGCCTGTCGTTCCGCAAGAGCTCGGCAGTGTCCCATCGACCGTGGGGGGAGTGGAGACGTCTTCGCCTTCATTCCCCCCCCCCTCCCCCCGTATCCTTCTTTTCCCCCATCCCTCCCTGTCGCACCCCCAGGCTTGTCGGCAGGGCGGGCCTGGCGTTTCGCCTGATACTTCCCCGCCACGTATTTACAACCCTGAGGCTCGAAATCTGCAGCAGCCTCAAGGGTAGAAAGGGCGTCAGTTGCAGAATGTACCTCTCGCCTAAACGCTGCACACACTCGCCATAAACATGTACGGTAGGTTCGACGATGGACGGCGGGTGGTCTTTAAAAATGTGACTCTCCCCTTAGCGCCGCAGACGATTGTCTTACAATATTGCAGCCGTTCCAAGAACAGAGGGCGGTTCATGTTCAGAATGTTATCGCCACGCACTGTCGCATGAAAAGCTCGCAACAGCTTCAACGATGGAGGGCGGCGGTGCTCTCGCCATAGCGAAGAAATCGTTCGGCTCAACAGTTCACAACACTTTCAATGCTGGAAAATAGTTCCGTTTCAAAATGAGGCGCTCGCCTTAGAGCCGTGCACATTCGTCTGGGAAGTTCGCGACACCTTCTTGGAAGGAGAGCGGTTCCTTTCAGAATTGGATGTTCACCTTTGCGTCGCGAGCGCTCGTCTCAAGAACTTACCACGGTTACAGATATGGAGGGCGGCGGCGTTTCAAGATGCGGCGTTCGCTGCGGTATCTGCAATTGTGAAATAACATGTTAGCCAGCATGGACCCCTAACTGTGCGACTGTAGCAATATACGTCGTGCACTCTATATGGAGCGAACTATGCGGTGCAATCTATGTGATGCACGCTGTGTTGTGCATTATGCATCGTCCTGTCTGTGATCTGCCATGTACGTGATGCGATCCATGTGGTGCACTCTATGTGGAGCAATGCATCTTTTCTTTCAGCTCGAGGAATCTTTGCGGCGACGGCGGCCAAAACCTGCAGTGCCCCCAGGCTCGGGACACGGGCGGAAGGGGGGGAAGGAAGCAGCCCCAACGAGGCCTCCTAGACGGCCCAAGAGTTCTCCACGAGGACATTGCTCATTTTCGACCTTCTGGCGGCTCAAGACGGCCCAAGAGGCCATCGAAATCGCCCCAAGCGCGCCCAGGAGGCCTCCAAGATGGCCCCAGGACAACCCACGAGGCCCCCAAGGCGGCCCCAAGAGGGCCCCAAGACGGTCCCAGATGGCCGCCGAGACGACCAAGATGGCCTCCAGGATGGCTCCAAAATGACCAAGATGGCCCCTCGAGAGCCGAAGATGACCCCAAGATGTCTCCAAAACGGCCCAAGATGCACCCCGGATGGCCCGAGATGGCCCCAAGATGGCACAAGACGACCCAAGAGGCACCCAAGAAGCCTCCAAGACAGCCCAAAAGGCATCCAAGAGATCCGCCAGGAAGGTTCCCCGAGGCCAAAATCGAGGATGGTCCGAAGGTGTTCGAAGGATTTGGGCATTTGCTTCTTTTCGGCATTCAGACCGCCCCCCAAAGCTCGCCCCCGGAGCGCCCAAGAAGCCACAAGATTGCCCCAAGACGGTCCAAAGGGCCCCCATGACGGCCCCAAGAAGACCTACAACTGCACAAGAGGCCTTCAAGACGCCCAAGATGGCCGGCGTCAGACGGGCCAGGAACTCCCTAAGACGGCCAAATGGACCAGAAGAAGCCCCAAAAGGTCCCAGAAAGGCCCACGGAGGCCCCCAAGAGGCCCCGTGGAGGCAAAGTGGAGGCCCTCAGGAAGCTCCCAGGAGGCCCCAAGAATGCCCCAGGAGGCTCACGAAAAGCCTCCTCCTCCTCCCCCCTTTTCCTCTCTCTCTCTCTCTCCTCGGCTTCTGCTTTCTGCCCCACGTGTTCCCCGAAGGGTTTCCGCAACGGCTGGAGGAACACACAATCCAACAGCTCGGCCGAGCTCTGGCCAAAACGTTCAGCCACATAGGCGCTTCCAAGAAGGCAGGCGGGCGGTGGTGATTCGCCGTAGGCGTCTGCGGGTAACAGCTGCGCGGGTGGAGGGCGGCCTGTTTTGAAAACTTCGTGTTCGCTGGAGGTTTACTTCCTGCAAAGACCAGAAGCCTAGACGTGTGGTACAGCTGCACGCATGGAGGGCGGCTCCTCTTCAGAATGAGATTCTCGCTTGAGACGCGCTCGCCGCTCATGACCAGAAACGCAAACTTGTGCAAGAAGAACACAATGGGGGCGGTGCTGTTATACATCGGGACTATCGCTAGACACCTCGTTGAGCTGCTTGATTACAGTTTGTGCATTACATATGACCAGCCAGATACATGCAAGGCAATTTCATGTCAAGACGGGGCTCTCGCCTGAATGGTCGGTCGCCACATTTTGCAGCATGGCAGACGCATCGCGGGCTTACTCTGATCGTTTTCCGCCTCCTCCGCCTCCTCCTCCTGTTCTTCCTCCTCCTCCTCCTGCTCCTCGTTCTCCGCCTCCTCCTCCACCTAATTATTTCTCCCACTATCAGGGATCTGGCGCGAGAACTGTGCCGACGAAGTCCACGTCAATTTCAAACGGGGGGCTGACCTGGCCAGGTGCCCCGCACACGTCGCCACTTTCCCACCAGGGAAGTGCACAACGCCAACAACGTGACCAGACCTATTCTCATCGTTTCTCTATGAGGCAAAAGGTCATGGCCCGTTCACTCAGCCGAATCCAACCCGCCACGACACGCGGGGGAAACGGCGCCCCCGAGGCCGACACGACGGGCACAACCAACCAAACCTCAACAGAGCCTGTACGCGATGGTTGGGGAACCGACCCTTTTCGGGCACGGGCCAGGACCTCTAGGCCCTTACGCGCGGGAGGGTTCACAGGGACAATGAAACTTGCTACTTCTACCTTAACCGAACCTCGTTCCCCTTCCTTCCCGTGCTTCTCCTCCATCCCACCTCGTCACTCCTCGTCCGTCCCTCCTCCCCCCCATCCTCCCTCACCATCATCCTTCCATCCCTCCCTCCTTCCCTCCAACTCGCTCTCCTCCTCATCCTCCTCCTCCTCCTCCTCCTCCTCCTCCTCCCCCGTTTCCTCCTCCTCCTCCTCCTCCTCCTCCTCCTCCTCCTCCTGCTCCTCTTCCTCCTCCTCCTTCTCCTCGTCCTCCTCCTTCCCCCGTCCACCCACCCTCCTCTCCCGCCCACCCTTGTCCACCTTCAATAAGCCCATGTTCCCTCGGCCACGCCCCGGGCGGAGGGAAGCTAGCAGATAATTAGCGGCGCGCTGACGTCCAAGCCCTGCTGCGCAAGGAGCACCTTGATATCCTCGCTGCGGGTACTCCCTCCTGCCCGTGCCCCTTTTCATCCTCCTACGTTTCCTTCACTTCCTGCCCTCCGCCCGTTCCTCGTCCTCCTCCTCCTCCTCCTCCTCCTCCGCCTCCGCCTCCTGCTTCTCCTCCTCCTCCTCCTCCTACTCCTCGTCGTCTTCTTAGTACCAGTATTATGCATGTGCACCTTTTCCTTCTTACTCGGAGATTTCTGCTTCGTGTTTGTATGAGTCTTCTTCGTATATCAATGCGTATCATTGTTATCCGTATGAATAATGCTCGTCGTATATGTATTCATAGTATTTGTTATGGTAAGTATCGCCATTCTTCGAATTCATGGTCCTGTTATTGCTCGGAATATGAACGTACTCGTTGTGAATAGCGTCCGCCTGAACATCGCTGATTCGTACTATCAGTCTTACTGCCGAATATTATTCACAATCGTACTCGTGGGAATAGTCGGATCTACTGCCTCAGCATTTCGAGTATGTTCCAAATCTTATGTTTCAAGCTATGACCATTCATACTACGAATGGTACTGCTGATATTTAAGATATTGTTAGTTTTCGTAACAGTCGGCCCCCGCAGCGCTGCCCGGCCCGCTCCCCAGTGCGGGCGCAGGTCTGGCAGGTGCCACCAGCGGACGCGGCGTCCTGGCCCAGCGGGCAGCGCGTCGCGGAGCGGAAGTCAGCGTCGCGCACCTGCTGCCCGCACTCGCCGGGCGAGGCGGTCTGACAGCCTGCCGCGCGCGGGCCGCCGCAGGAGCGGAGCAGCGCCCAGCTCCCTTCGGAACCCGAAAAGCTCAGCAAGGAGTTGTAGCTCTCTTGGTCTATCCTTGCAGCGAACGCCTTTTGGAGCTTCCTCTGAAGCTCGGTTGCGAGGTCAGCCCATATGGGCAGCCTGTCAGGGCTGTCAGCAACGCCCCAGCGGGGCGACGGCGGCGGGAGCGCCGCAAATTCGGCGAGGCTGCTCCGGGAGGCGGCGGCGGGCGACAACGAGCTCGCGCTCAACTCGTCCAGGGAGGCCAGTCCAGTCAGGCTCTGCGCCCAGGAGGCCGACCGCGCCGCTGGGGCCAACTCCTCCTGGCGGCGGGGGCCGCGGCCGCACAAGCGCAGCGGGAGCTGCGGCGTCAGCAGGTCCGGGTGCCCGAGCTCCTCGTAGGCGGTCAAGACGGCGGCGTCGTAGGTCGCCACGGCTGGCCTCAGTTGCTCGGGCGGCGTCGGCCACGAAATGCACGAGGGGAGTGCCGGAACGGGCGTGACGCCCACATGCGAACGGTACCTTTGGGGCGTTCGGTGAAATTCCTTGTGGCGCAGCGAAGCGTGTGATGGGTGTGCCGGAATGGGCGACGCCCACATGCGAACGGTGCCATTGGGGACTTCGGTGGAGGTCCCGCCGGGCCCAAAAAATGTGAAGGGTGTGCCGACACGTACGATACGCCCACAGGCGAACGGTGCCCTTGGGACAGTGGAGCTCCTCACGTGGCCACGAAACGTGTGAGGGGTGTGCCAAAACGGACGTGACGCCCACATGCGAACGGCGCCCCTGGGGCCTTCGGTGGAGCTCACTGTGGGGCCACGCAACGTGTGAGGGGTGCCGACATGGGCGTGACGCCCACATGCGTATGGTGCCCTTACCAATATCCAGGGCCCTGGTCTGCCCCGTACCCTGCGTTCTCCACCTTTCCGATGCGAGTCGGGCGCAGAGACTTGGAAATACCTGAGGGTTCTGGAGAAGCTGCTTCTCCTCCTTCCTCCTCCTTCCTCATCACGACTAGCGTTCACTGGGTGGTGCAATGCGGTCACAGCTCCACTGAAGCAGCGTGACCCACAAATGGTTTGAACTTGAAACATGGCCGAGAGGAAGGTGGATTGAGCCGAGACCTACGGCCCGAGAGGAAGGCAGGGTTCACAAAGCGTCCCCTCGCCAATCTCGGCACGGCCCTAACACGGATCGTGCCTGCCCGTAAGCACAACGTTCGGGTCCATGGACACATGTTGGATCCGACATGGAGGGGGCAAGAGGGGCATGGGAGCACGGGAAGGAGGGGGAGGAGCAGAAGGAGAAGCGGAGTCTTTGAAGACGAATGGCAGGAGGAGGACAGCAAGGAGGGGCCACCGTGTCCCTTCTATCCGCGTGTGCCCCTCCTGGTGTCTTCTGTCCATCCTGCCACCGTGCCCCTCCTGGCGGTCTTCGGGGTCCTCTTGGGGCGGAGGCCTCGGAATGTGGGTTCGACCTCCACCCTCCTGGGGCCCCTCTTGGGGCCATCTTGGGGCCGTCTTGGGCGGTCCAGGGAACTGATTCGGGTGTCTTGGGGCCCTTTTGGCCGTCTTGGAACCCTCTTGACGACCTCTTGGGCCGTTTTGAGGCTCTCCTGGGGACCTCTGGGGCCGTGTTGGAGGCAACGCATGTGCTAGACATGCACGTCTTTCTCAAAGGAATGGGACCCCTTCGGGCCCTCTTGGGGGCCCTCTTGGAGCCGTCTTGGGGCGTCTTGGGGGCCTCCTGTGCCATCTTGACGCCACCTGGGGCCGTCCAGAAGCCATGTTGGCCAATCTGGGACCTACTTGAAATTTACCTGGAAACTCCGGGGGGGGCTGGGAAGCTCTCGGGAGGGCCCCGGGGGGGAGGGAGGACTTGCCCCCGGGGCCGGGTTTCCAGCATGTGAAGGATACATGCGCATGGGCGCGTATCTCCAACATGTTGTCTCTCACACCCTTCCTCCTCCTGCTTCTCCTCACACTTCATCATCCTCCACCTACCATGTTACGTATTTCCCATCTTCGCCGCATGTTCTTCCTCTTCGTCACCCACTAAAGCTCCCTCCTTCTCGTCCTCTACTTGGATGCCTCTGATGGGATATCGGAGAAAAGCTAAGAGGATCAGGCAGTGGAGGGAGGGAGAAAATGAAGAGGAGGTCAGCGGGAAAAGGGATTGAAGAGAAAGGTGGGTCCATTTTGGGTTTCTCGGGGGCCCAATGGGGCTCTCCGGGGGCGTCTTGAAAACATCTTCGACCACCTAGGGCCTGGCAGTCGTCGTGGCAGTTTCGGAACTTCTTGAGGCTTCAGCAGCTCCCACCTCCAATACTTTTTGGGGCCCGTTTTGAAGCCCTGTTGAAGCCCTCGTGAGCCCTTTGGAGCCCGCTGAAGACCGTCGTTGCACACTTTCTGGCCGTCTTGGGACGATATTGGGGACCACCCAGGCCTGAGGCCGCTGAATGCCTTCTGAAGGCTGAGAGAGCGACACTGATAAATCCCCGACCAACGATCTGAAGAAGTTCAATGAATGCTGCCCGTCAGGGGCCCATGGGGATGGGCAGTCCCAGGGGCTCCCGAGCGTATTCGGCATTCTTAGAAGAAGGAGAACAGAAGAAGAAGAAGAAGAAGACTGACAGAAGTTTTGGGGAGGTTCGCGCGAATCGGATCGGCACTGGGCCCCCCTCCCTGGCAAGCGGAGCGCGCCAGGGGCGGCAGGCGCCGCATCTCGGGTCCAGCGCCGATCGAAGAAATCTGTGCGTACCTCCGAAAGTTTATGCTGATGCAGACTCTTCTTCGAATTCTTCGGCTCTCTCGGTAGTCGGGGAAGCGTACTGGAGAGGGCCCCCTTGTGGCCCTCGTTTGCCTTTTGAGGGCTCTCGTGGGCCCGCTGGACGGCCTGGTTGGGCCTGTTTGCGTCGATTTGGGGTACGTTCCGGGCCGTCGTGGACACTCCTGACACTATCAGGACAAGAAAGGCAACGTCCTTCAGAAACCATCAGAGAAGTAATGACTGCTGCCTGCTGGAAGCCTGTAGGAAGCATTCCTGGGGCCATCTCGGATGCTCTTGGGAGTATATCCGACCCTTTTGGGGCATGTTGGAGCTATCTTGGCTATCGTGGGAGCGTCTTGAGGGTGCCGCAGCCCCTCCTGTCCTCTCTGGGGACCGTTTTGGAACTCTCTTTCTTTCTGCTTCTGCCGCTGGAACTGGAACGGGCGGCAGCTGCGCGCTAGGGAGAGGAACAGAAAAGGCGGCAGCAGCCAGGACGCACTACAGACCTGAAGAGCCGAAGCTGGAGCAGAAATGAGCACACGGACATGCAATCGAAGTCACGGCAGATAAAGCATCATATTCGCCCCAGAGGCCTAAGAGCAAACCCTGGAGAAACAACAACAAAAAAACGGTACAGCCTAGCATGTGCGGCCGCGTGCATGCAAAGGGCTGAGCAGCAACGTACGCACAGACGGGGCGTTCGAAGCTTCTGAAGAAGCTTCTCCGGAAAGGCTGGCTAACCGCTGGACAGACAAAACGCGGAGAGAGCGTACCCCTCCCAGCAGCGTGGGAGTGTACCCTACCTTGGGCCCACGCAAACTGCAAATGGGCCTAGAGGAAACTGCCTGTGGCAGGCTGCCGTGAATCGATTACGGATGAGGAGAGGCAAGAGAAAACCAGGGCGGTTTGGGAGCCCACCTAAGGCCCTCGTGGGCCCTCTGAAAGCCCTCTTGGGCCCGCTGGCGGCCCTGGCGGGGCCCTTTTGTGGCGTGCCTGTCCATGGCCTCTCTTGTTGTTTGCCCCTGCCCTCGACCTCCCTCATCGCCTTCTCCTCAATCTCCTTGCCATCCCTCTCTTTCCCTCCTCTCCCTCCATACCTTCCTGCCCTGGCCCTCCCCTCCCACCCACACCTATCCCTCCCTTCCACTTTCCTAGCCTCCCTTCCTCCCGTGCAACGGCCAGCGGGGAGGAGATGCGAGAATGAAAAAGGGATGTATATAAGGAGGGAAGGAAGGCGAAGAGAGGAGGACGAGCAGTTATCACGTATCGCCACCGTCACCATCACCATCACGAACACCATCACCACCACTACCACCTACAACCTGCTCATCTACAACCATCATCAACCTAACCACCACCACCACCACCATCACCGTCACCATCACCATCACCACCATCATCACCATCATCCCCAATTATCACCATCAACATCATGGTCATCAATATCAGCATCATTTCCGCTTCATCGTC